GCCACCGCTACAAAACATTTTTATAATTAAGTTTTTACCGTGTAGTGGCGGTGTAAGAATATCTACATCACGTGCGTGTCGTAAGGAGCGGCAAAGGGAAAGAAATCAGATGGGCAGCAGCGCCTTTATAATAACGACTACAAATAAAAAAACTGCGGTTGCCAATACGCTTGCCAAGCGTGGCATCTATGGCAAACGTCCCCCCTGGACGCCTATGTTCAGCAGTGGATTTTAATAATACTGTAACAGTAACGATGACGGTAAGGAAGACGATATTACTCATCGTCTGGCTTAGTTTGCGTCTGTCGCTTCTTACCACACATGGTATAATATTATAGGGCAGTGGATTGCCTCTGTTATCCAGCCACTACACGACACTTTTATATAATATTATAGGGCAGTGGATTGCCTCTGTTATCCAGCCACTACACGACACTTTTATATAATATTATAGGGCAGTGGATTGCCTCTGTTATCCAGCCACTACACGACACTTTTATATAATATTATAGGGCAGTGGATTGCCTCTGTTATCCAGCCACTACACGACACTTTTATATAATATTATAGGGCAGTGGATTGCCTCTGTTATCCAGCCACTACACGACACTTTTATATAATATTATAGGGCAGTGGATCGCCTCTGTTATCCAGCCACTACACGACACTTTTATACAATATTATAGGTCGGTGGATTGCCTCTGTTATCCAGCCACTACACGACACTTTTATATAATATTATAGGGCAGTGGATCGCCTCTGTTATCCAGCCACTACACGACACTTTTATATATTATAGGGCGGTGGATTGCCTCTGTTATCCAGCCACTACACGACACTTTTATATAATATTATAGGGCAGTGGATTGCCTCTGTTATCCAGCCACTACACGACACTTTTATATAATATTATAGGGCAGTGGATTGCCTCTGTTATCCAGCCACTACACGACACTTTTATATAATATTATATGGCAGTGGATTGCCTCTGTTATCCAGCCACTACACGACACTTTTATATAATATTATAGGGCAGTGGCTCACCTCTGTTATCCAGCCACTACACGACACTTTTATATAATATTATAGGGCAGTGGATTGCCTCTGTTATCCAGCCACTACACGACACTTTTATATAATATTATAGGGCAGTGGATTGCCTCTGTTATCCAGCCACTACACGACACTTTTATATAATATTATAGGGCAGTGGATCACCTCTGTTATCCAGCCACTACACGACACTTTTATATAATATTATAGGGCAGTGGATTGCCTCTGTTATCCAGCCACTACACGACACTTTTATATAATATTATAGGGCAGTGGATTGCCTCTGTTATCCAGCTACTACACGACACTTTTATATAATATTATAGGGCAGTGGATTGCCTCTGTTATCCAGCCACTACACGACACTTTTATATAATATTATAGGGCAGTGGATTGCCTCTGTTATCCAGCCACTACACGACACTTTTATATAATATTATAGGGCAGTGGATCGCCTCTGTTATCCAGCCACTACACGACACTTTTATATATTATAGGGCGGTGGATTGCCTCTGTTATCCAGCCACTACACGACACTTTTATATAATATTATAGGGCAGTGGATTGCCTCTGTTATCCAGCCACTACACGACACTTTTATATAATGTTATAGGGCAGTGGATTGCCTCTGTTATCCAGCCACTACACGACACTTTTATATAATATTATAGGGTAGTGGATTGCCTCTGTTATCCAGCCACTACACGACACTTTTATATAATATTATAGGGCAGTGGATTGCCTCTGTTATCCAGCCACTACACGACACTTTTATATAATATTATAGGGCAGTGAATCGCCTCTGTTATCCAGCCACTACACGACACTTTTATATAATATTATAGGGCAGTGGATTGCCTCTGTTATCCAGCCACTACACGACACTTTTATATAAAATAGGATACAAAATGAAAAACAATTTAGTTCAACCAGTTCAATGAAATTTTTATTCGGATATGTTATTAGCGTTGTGACAAATTCTTTTCTCTACGACCTCACTAGGTAATGTGCTATTGGAACTTATTCTTACTTCCTCTTGGACATTATATTCGTTTAATAAATAATATATTAAAATAACGATAATTAAAATAAATTAAATGCAGTCTTACTATTCCATTACATAATACTTAAGAAAAGTTTTATTAGAAGTCTTATATGAAAAATAACATATTCGGATAATTTAAATGAAAATTTCAACTACAATTAGAGTACATAGTTACATGTAATATTCTCAATAAATGCAGATGAATCACCCGAATTGTTTTTTATAATCAACACGTCGATGTTGAGCCTGAAAATAAATTGGCTTCATTGATATTCTATGTTGAAACTTATTTTGTTAAACACTTAAGTTATTTATAAAACAAACGAGATCCAATCAGTTATAAAGAATATGTCTTACATTAACTTAAAATAACTTAAACAAAAATAAATCTCATCGTTGCTTATATCACATCATACACGACAATGAATTTTTATAATAATTAATTAATATTGCAACATTAAATTTATAAAATAAATTATCGCAAGGTACTTTTGGAGAACTACATGATCGCATATACTGTCATATGTTTTAGTACGGTTATGTGACTGGGGTGAAAGAGGAGTAAAGAGTGGTGGGGCGAAAGAGTGGAGTAAAGTTAAGCCGTCTTTAACAGGCCCATGTTACTCCCATCATTTTACTTTTAGCACCCACTTATCACACCTTAGGATTTAAACAATAAAAATTGTCTTATAGCTAAACAAAGCTTCCGTATGTATCAGACAATCTTACAATATGAAAATTAGACAATACTGCATTTTAAATTTATAAAATAATGAAATGTATAAAAAATTTACTATGTATATATATTAAGTATCTTTTTATAGCCTACTGGCTACAAATATAATGTCTACGATACGGAAAAAGTCTATGTTAAAATTAAAAAATATATTTTTTAATTACAATTAATGATATGACAGCATTTTATTATATATCAGTTATAATCAAAGGAACAATCTTTAAATGGCGGTATTTCACGACAGTATCATGAAAACTTAAGCTGAGAAACTGAAGATAGTGAGTCCAATCCTGTTCCTATATAAAATTACTACATCATAGTGTATCAATAAATAAAACTTATAACATTGAAAGTTATAAATGAATGTATTTCTCTTTTGTGTTATTATAACAAACGGTGGGCTATATGTAAGAAATGATTTTATTATGCAAAGTGATGTTTGTTTACATAATATATTTCTGTATATATACGTCGCAGAAACTTCAACCACAAAAAAGTGATATCTTCCACCATTAAAAATACTAAAAACAATATGATCACATTAGTTTTCTCATAATGTTAAAAATATAAATAAAATCCAATATTTATGTATATTGATTAATCGTATAATAAATATTAATATCTAAAGTAAAATAATTACTAACTATATAATATTACGCAGAATAAAATTTGACATAAGTACGATCATAATTAAGTACACGATAACAAAATAAAGTAATAAATAAATAATTTTACAAAATATATTATCAACTACTATGAAAATTTGTGCCATATGTTCAATTGAATAAAAGTGGTTTGTGAACTGACATATTATTGTGATATGTAAGTACCGTTAAATATCTGTCTTCTATGAGAACATCTTTAAAACAATGCTGCAAACAAAAGGCTGACAACATTAAACGGAAAGTAAGTTATTCACATATTTTGAGCTTTTTAGGACACAGTCAAAAAGAAAAAACAATTATTGAAAAATGTGGCTCTTACTGAAACATCTATCTATAAGTATTTACATAGTGCCTTTTCAAAAATTATAATAGCTGCCTTATTGAAACTATCAGGACACAATAAATGACATTTATATAATATGTCACGGCTAAAAACCTAAGTGTGGTTACACCAAGGTTTATCCGGCTACAACTAGGTGCAGCCAATTAGTTGGTTAACTTAGGTGTATTCATTTTGTCCGAAAAATTTATAAATAATATAGATGTCCGCAGCTTTAAGGTGGCCACCCTAGCCGCACTGTAACCGCTAATATTACTTGATGTTATATGCTTTCGTACTTTTGAAAATATTAAAGAATTTATAGTTATTAACCGACTCTCGCTGATTTTATTTGATAGTTGCTTTCGCCATTTTGACAAAGTAGAAAGAAGTCATATCAGACATTCTAATTCCTATTCGGACTCATCATTCCCATTTAATATACCTAGTTTTAGAACCGAACCGAAAGCAACCGGCTACGCCTAGATTTAGCCATGAATAAATAAGTAAGTAAGCTGAAGTGGCAATGAGTCAGCCATACAGCTCGAAGAACCGACAACCGATGAGAAATTAAGATTATCGAGTGGTTTATCGATTAGTGAGTACCTCCCCTCCCCACTAGATGAAGTGACGACCTGGTAAGATATGCAGGAAGTCGATGGATGCAGGTGACTCAGGACCATTCTTTGTGACATTCCTTGGGGGAGGCCTAGGTTCAGCAATGGACTTGTGAAGGGCTGTAATGATGATGATGACGAATGTTTAACCAACCTCAATCAATTGCACCTAGTTATAGCCTGCTAAACCTAGGTGTAACCGCACTTCGGCGTCTAGCGTTGTAAATATACCTGAAATTTGGTGTAATTAGCTTCCATTGGTAATTAGTTAAAGAGCTTGTTACAAATATTGTCTTTACTCTTAAGTACATGCCTCAGTTTATCTTTTTGTACATCATATAAATGCTATTAGCAATTACATGTAATAACAGTTAACAGTCCATGGTATTTTTACCAAATTTATTAACTGCTTAAATTAAATTTTTGTTACAACTCTTAAGTCCGGCGATCATATACAAATTTATAAAATAATGAAAATAGATGATTTATTTTTAATACTGTAAATATATTCAATAACGGCCAGTGTTATTGTTTATATCAAATATTAAATTGATCAGATTTTTATTTAGAACTCATGTTTAATACTGCCATATATCGAACACGCGTCTTTAAAATTACTAACGTTAAAACTTGCGAAATAATCATCGTGAATGAACCTAACGATATTTTCAATGGGGCAAAGGTACGTGGTATATATTTTCATATCATCTATGGGGTCGACAACTTTCATAACAACATTCTGCTTACTTCTACAAAAACTTAATTTTTTTGTCACATCCTGCCCATTATATACGACACGAAAATAAAAATCCTGTGCTACTGCTTTTCTTTTGGTGAATTTGAATTCATCACGCAAATCCTTCCTTCTATACATCTCAAAGATCATTCTAGAAGCATACGGAATATTGTAATGTTGATAACTATTCAAACCTAACGCGAGAATTAACGCTTGAAGGGTTTTGTCGTGTCCCGAATACAGAACATATTTCGGTTTATTTTCCGATATCATCCGTATCATATTTTGTACTATGTTGTGTATGAGACCGTACGCCACAAGAAGGCCTCTTCTCCTGTTATGCAAATTCTTCATCTCTTGCTTATAGCTCCACTCCAAATACGCGAATAAGGACATAACATGTTCTTTCTGGATGCAGAAGTCTTCCGTATTCTCTGGCGTCGGTTCCTGGTAGTCCTCGTCGAAGTCTGTATCTATTCTGGCATCATTGGGAAAATTAAAATCTGCATCCAGATTTTTCTTAACAATAACTACGTCTTCATAACCATCGGCATTATCTAGATACCTTTGTTGGTAATAAAGTAGTTTCTCTCTTTCCATCTGCGCGTCGAAGTCTAATGGTACTTTCTTATCTCTACTATCGTAGTATTTCCCAATTATATCTCTAGCTTTTCTTCCAATTTCATTATTAAGGTCTAGCTGATTATTTATATAGTCTAATTCCAGGTTTAGTGTGTCAATATCTACGTCAAGAAGATTTCTCAAAGCCATACTATTTCCATGGTACTTTTTTTGTCTTCTGTGCAGTGATATTTTGTCTTTATTGGGTGTTTTATTTGATTTCTCAATGCATGGAAGTGGTGCCTCATGACAAATATAAGCTAACAATGCGTCTCTCACAACATCTGCGTCAATATGTTCCTGAGATTCGAACAATACTCTAGATAACTTTACTATCAGATCTTTGATAGCTGGATGAGATTCCAGTCGATTTTTTAACTGAGAATTGATTTTCCTGTTGAATAAAAAAGAACAGTTGTAACACCAGGAAAAAAATTAACAATTCCAGTTTAAGAGCGAACAGTTTTTTTTCTCGCTATCCAAAAAGGATTTAACGTCACCGTGAGAGGCATCTTAGTCCTCAGGGGTAATAGTGCATCAACATTTTGATTTTTAATAGAAGGTTGATGTTGGTGTTTATGGGCCACAACATATATTTACCATCAGGTGGACTGTGTGCTCGTTTGTCACTTTTATTCTACAAAAAAAAAATCTCCCAAATACTTTGAATGTGACGCAACAGCATATTTTGAATAATGTAGGCAAGGTTGTATTGTGTAAGACCTTTGCCTGCCTTAATTAGTTAATCGTAACAATAATCACCTGGAGTTTTAGTGGAAACTACTGCCGACGGATTATTGCTCTGTATTGTTTATCCTACCTGTAAAATACACTTAAAACTATTACTAAAGTGAATTTTGATACGTAAAAGAGAAACGACGCACAAGTATTTTATCCACTAAAGGGGTCACTATCTGTTCGATTAAGTTGTAAGAGTTGAGACGTACAAATTGTAAATATTTTTTTTAGCAAAATATTATATTGTTATTACTTGACACTGCCATAAATATACCGTATAAGTCCTTAACCAAAGAAGAAAAAAACAGTTGACCCTACAGGCCATCCCTGCAAATACCCGCAAATTTTATTATTATTATTATTTATTTTTAATTTTAAATGCAAAGCGGTCCAAAGTTCACATATTTTTACGCTGAACTGATTTTGATGCGGTTTACGGCAAGTGATGTTGTTTTTTGGGGTTAAGAGCCGATTAGATTTTGGAATTGATCGACACGTTTGTTTAAAAACTATCTCAAAAAACTTTTTTTTTTAATTTAATTCTTGAGAGTTCTCAAAATCTACCTTTTTTATGGGACCTCAAAAGGTGAAGAGCTGATGAGAACTCGTATTTTCGACAACTAGGATAAAACCAGTAACTTCCCGATTTTTGAAAATCATTTATTTTCATAGCAGGAAGTTAAGAAGCAGTGATCATTACTTGACACTGGCAAAAGTACAACCGTACAAGTCCATTCCTAAAGCAGAAAAAAAACAATGACCTGTGTAGCGCGTGCACCGCGGGGCATGCGCAGTCGCGGAAGCAGAAGGCGACGCTGTGCGCCTCGCGTGCACGCGCCGCCGCCCGCGCGCCACCCCACGCCAGCGCCTGCAGAGACTGGAACGTGCGCCGGTACCGCGTGCTATACGCCAGGCCTGCACAAGCGTTACAATCACAAACGTTACTAAAACGGTTTACCATAATATAAAAATATCGTATCGATATGCTGCAAACGGAAACGGTTTTTAGAATATGGGGACGCCCATTAATTACATGAGATGTTCGAATCTCGCATAATCTAACGTGAGGGAGAAAGAGGGCCTCGGTATATATCACGTAATTTTTATTCCGCAAGAAATGATGTAAAATTTCGACAAAATTTGGTTAAATTAATTAAAATATGGCCAAATCCTTCAAGTAATATTTATCGCGTATTGCGAACTAAGCAAATTACCTATATAAAAGATTTTTTTAAATAAACTCAACGCAACGCAATCAAGCGCAGATTAACGTATTTACGCTAAAAATACATATTTTGAAAAAATTCACGTGAAATTTTAGGTGAAGGGGTCGAGCCACCCTCCGAGTAGAAAAATCGCCATATTCGCCTCACGTAATTAATGGACGCCCCCTAACGCTAAATCGAAGCGAATTCAAACGCAACACAGCTAACGTAACTTCCCATAACATAAAGCCATATAAATTCCGTTCCGTGACCAAGCAACGTAACTATCAACCTACTAGATATTCGCCTCCTCTCTGTCTAACTAACCTTGCCATGAATCGTGAAAACGAGACAAAGCGAATATCGAGTGCGTTTATCGTTAGTGTTTTAGGTTCGCATTTAGGTTGCCAACCTAAATGCTGGAACCTAATCGCTGGAAACTATAACTGCAGAAACGGTAATTAAATTTTGCTTCAGATCGATGTCTAATAACGGATTTTGATATCAATAAGAAAAATTCATATCCGTTATGCGTAACCGTTATAAAAAAAAACTGATAACGCCCATGTTTTTAATCAGGACTAATGATTTGCCTATAACAATCTGATTAACCGTGTTGGCGGTGTAGGAATATTTACTAACCTATATCATCCCGTGGATGCCGTAAAAGGCGACAGAGGGAAACAAATCAGGAGTGGGCAGCAGCGGTTTCCTAATAGTAACTGAAATTAAAAATCTGACAACACACTTGCCAAGCGTGGCAACTATGGCAAATACCCCTATAAGGCAATCTGTGTGGGAGGTATATATTTAGCAATGGACTTTTATAGGTTGTAACGGTAAAAGTGACGCTCACCAGAAGTCGCTAATTGGTACCGACTAGGGGTATGTGTGAGTTTATTTGCAGAGTAAATTAAGTATTTGTATGGAAGAATTAAGAAAAAATATAAAGAATGAGTATTAAGTAAATTGATATGTATTACTTCATTTCATTAATTCAGGAAAGAGAAGTTACATGGGACAAGTAGACGTGGGCGTTATTTCACGTCACTAGATACAGTAACTGGCTACGCGGCATGTAACCGAATCACTAGTTTCGAGTCATGTTACAAGTAGTGATTTTTGTAAATGCGTGATTATGATTACTGTTAACCATGATTATTGCGGGAGTCGACTGTCGCATACAACAATAAACAAAACATTGTAAGTAACAGTATTATTGTACGTTTAATTATCATACGTAAGACTATAGACATAGACAATAAAATAGAGTAATCTCTGTTTGTAAATAATTTCAACGGTTTGCGATTCCGGGAAGCGAGTCACATTGAATTTAACTAAAATAATTTTTAAAACATTTTTGACGGAGTCATGAACTCGTTTATTCATAAAATTAAAATAAAACTAAAAATGTGTATAAAAAATTTAAATGTTTATAACATTATAAAACTTAAAAACTGTGTGTAAATAGCCAAACAAACAAATTAATTGTGCAGTGTAAATAAAAGTACAAAAAGAAATGATAGTGAAAACGTTGAAAAAGTGTAAATAAACTGTAAATATCAATAATCATTGTATATACAATCAAATTGACTTGTAAATATGCCTGCATTAATAATTTTATGAAAATCTTAGTGTCATAGTAAACGCAAATCAATCATAAATACATTTAATGCAGTCAGTCTTAAACCTGAATAAAGTATGAAGGGAAGTTAATTTATTGATTTAACAGTATACAGTACTGTATAGCTACAAACACAGATTGTGATTAAATTTATTTTCGTTTCGTGTGTAACTGTACAGTTGGTGGTGATATTTATGCAAACAATCACAGTAGCCAGATAAAAATAGTCAGTTACAAAAATCACTAGTTTTGAAACAGGTGACGCCGATCAAGTCACTGGTTTCGTTATGTTTCTTGAAAATGACGTAACGACCCACGTCTAGGGACAAGTCACATGCCATGTTTCCTAATAGATTGCAACGCACGCCGTGTGGATTTATTTGTTACAGAACATTGAGAAGATGCGTGTTAGACGCTCACTAGATGTCGCTAATTGGTACTGACGGAGGTGGAGTTATTTGTTACAGAACATTGAGAAGATGCGTGTTAGACGCTCACTAGATGTCGCTAATTGGTACTGACGTAGGTGGAGTTATTTGTTACAGAACATTGAGAAGATGCGTGTAGACGCTATAGATGTCTTGGAGCAGGGGTTTAGACGCTCACTAGATGTCGCTAATTGGTACTGACGGAGGTGGAGTTATTTGTTACAGAACATTGAGAAGATGCGTGTTAGAGTATATTTATATGCGGGTGGTGTGAACATTGAGAAGATGCGTGTTAGACGCTCACTAGATGTCGTAATTGGTACTGACGTAGGTGGAGTTTTTGTTACAGAACATTGAGAAGATGCGTGTTAGACGCTCACTAGATGTCGCTAATTGGTACTGACGGAGGTGGAGTTATTTGTTACAGAACATTGAGAAGATGCGTGTTAGACGCTCACTAGATGTCGCTAATTGGTACTGACGGAGGTGGAGTTATTTGTTACAGAACATTGAGAAGATGCGTGTTAGACGCTCACTAGATATCGCTAATTGGTACTGACGGAGGTGGGTTATTTGTTACAGAACATTCAGAAGATGCGTGTTAGACGCTCACTAGATATCGCTAATTGGTACTGACGGAGGTGGAGTTATTTGTTACGGAACATTGAGAAGTTGCATTTTAGATAAATATTTATCGGTTCTTAATGTATGAATAATACATAAATCATTGTCTTGGTGGTTTGCTCTTTAACATTTGAACATTTTGAAGTCTTATTTAATTTTACTACTTTTATGAAAATCCTAAGTTGGATTTACTCATTTCTTAACTAATCAATACAGAATACGATTTGCCTCAAAACTACGAGTATACATCAATCTTTACACATTTCTAACTTTGGTGGTGGAAGGAAATGGGGAGATCTCCCGCCAGGCTGTTCTGCCCGGGGAGCGGTCATCGCTCCGCGTGTTAGTTCGGAGCTATTCTAATATACTGTTTTTGATTCGGAACTTTGATAGGGTTCGACTTATTTCGCTAGTGGCGCGACGACAGCACCGCCACATCACCCCTCTGCTCAGACCGGAGGTCGATAGTACAGTCTAGTTACCAGGGGATTGCCTTGTAGTCAGCGGTGAGTCGGCAAGTAATCTGCAAGAGTGTCATGAAGCAGAGGCGAGCAGTAAGGTGCAGAGCCGTGCGAACACTCTAGCGCAGAGAGTAGCTTGAAGGAACAGGGAGCGTTATGATTCCAGTGCTGCGATGAACCTTGTAAAGCTAGATGGCATGCAGGATATGAAGACTGCGGGCAATCTCTGCTCGGGAGCGAATGGGTGGGGTACTTTATGACGATGATAAAGCATGAAGATGAACTTTCCCAAGGTTGTTGGTTGCGTGTTCACCATCACGTCGGGGTCACCAGTTTTGGCGGTGGAAGGAAAAGGAGAGATCTCCCGCCGTGCAAGGTGTTCTGCCCGGGGAGCGGTCATCGCTCCGTGTTACGTGTTCGGAGCTATTCTATATATACTGTTTTTTGATTCGGAACTTTGATAGTGCGATTAAGGCTTCGATGTGTTTCGCTTGTGACGCGACGACAGCGCCGCCACATAACAATTCAGCTGGCGCTTCACAAAATCTGTCAAATAGTTCACCTAAATTCAAAAAGCAAATCAAATAATGACCTCCGAAATTTAAACCGAACTTAGGTCACAGCGGCTAGTCTCAACGGAGACTAGCCATCTGGGACAGGATAATAGTGTCCGAATGCATGCGCAAGCACAAGTGCATTCCTGTCCCTCTCTCTCATAGTCCGATCGGACGGTAACCGACACGACCGGAAATCAGGCGCAGGACCTACGGCTTCACGTGATTTAGAGGCACGAGGGTTTTATTGGGGGCATACCCCGAGGCCCGAAACCTGCAGGACATACCATAGTCCTAGCGGAAGACATCAACGTTCCAACGAGGGTTAAACACCGCCAACTTGCTGACTTCAGGCTGCTACTGTGTTTCTTGACAGAAAAACTCTAATAAATAATTTTGGCCGGACCCGGAATTTGAACACGGGACCTCAACCGCATTTAAGACCAGTAGACCGACAAGGCAGTCAAATCAAATACAATATACGACTGTTAACTTTTGTAGTCGAAAGTCATTGTATATAAGGATATGACTGACCTGGCGCCATAATGTAACATCGTAGCTATCAATTCACCAGTTAAGTAGGGTGAGCAAAACAGATATTTATGAAATAATATTTATTTACAAATAAATACAAAAGAACCACGGAGGAAAAGTTTTAATGAGTTATTCAGTGTATCTACCCTAAAGAATCTACCCTAGGGTGGATACTCGGAAACGCGTGTTCGTTTATCCATCCCAGGCGGGGTGGATATCGGAATTCACTTTTATTAGTTCGTCCGACTTTTCTCCCCAAGTTGAGTCCAACACACAGTTTAATTATAAATTTATTTTTAGTAACCACAAACCTTATCAAAAAAAAAACTTATCGTTACAGCCTGTTAGTCCACGCATTACGTTTTGCATTTAAATTAAATTTAACTTCCTCGTTTTAAATAATATTATAATTGCTTAATTTAAAAATTCTGCAATATGTCCTAGCAATTACCAACTCTATAGTTCGTGCCGGATCGATTGAGAAA